GAAGGGAGGCTGGCAGGGCTGGGGAGCAGGGACTTAGGAGTGAGGGGCAGAGGCAGGGCATGGGCCTGGGCACTGTCCGCTCGCAATCATATGCCCATCCCCCCTCTCTTCCCCTTTCTCCCCATCCCAGGTGACCTCTTTTTTGATGCTGGAAATATGGTAACCCTAATTCAGGTTTTTAATGTATTTCTTGTTAATTTTGGGGGTCAGCAAGTACCTGTAAATATGTGGAAAGAAATGATGAATCTAGTTAAAACTATATGCAGTATAAAAATTGCAAAACTTTTCTGACAATTAGAAAATGTGAAACTTAGCTTCCAAAAATGTTACCTCAGTCTCACTAAGCATCCTATAAACCTGATGTTATACATTTAATAACAGATATTAATATATTAAGTTGGTATACATTTCACAAGAAAAATACCACATTTGCTCAAATATAAGATGTTCCTGAATAATAAATTTTCCATATATAGAATCATAAATTCCCCCATGCTCATTGGGGGAAAAAACACCTCATCTCATAGTTAAGTAAATACAGTAGCTACACTTACGCCTTGGGCTGGAACTGCTATCAGACTTATAACTCTTGCATTTCCTTAATTACAAAGATTTTAGAGATGCAATGAAAACATGAGGGTGCACCTAACTGCATAAGTAATAACCTCATTTACATATACATAGTGTAGCGAGGCAAAGCAAAGAACTGACTTGGGGACACAAACGCCATAATTGTACCCATAAGGCCCTTTCGAAATTGTCTTACATAAATGAACAGTATTGAATCTCATTTATGAAGAAAGACAGGTGTTTTTTTGTTTTTCTCATATTACCTCCGGATTTTCCTCCTTCTTCTTTTTGGTAGCAGGGGGTCCCTGAGCTGACTCTTCAGGAGATTTCTTTGTCTCCACTTTACTTTCTGTCTGGGTTTGGACTGGAGGCTGAATAATGATAACCTATAAGATAATAACAAGATTAAGAAAGGGGAGTTCACTATTTCAATAAGATTTTCCTAATACATATCCTTGACCCTTCACTGAGGAGTTGTGGTAAACATCTGCTAAAAAAGCAATAAATCACATTCAAGCGCCAACATTTTAAAAATCTGGTTGCCTATTGTTAGGTTCCCATAGCCATATTCAGGTTCCTAAAATGAAGTATCCTGATTGTACCAGCCTGGTTTTTCTTCCGCAATTAACTACTTCTATGGTAATAGCTATACAGATGACTTACACTAGTGTAGTTTTAACCTCATTTTTTTCTGAAGAAATTCTACACCAAGTGTAAGTTGGGCCCTTGGCAGATGTTACACTTAAGATATGATTAACCAGTTACTCACATCTCAAGTAGTAACCCAGCCACACGGACATGCAATTAATGGCACAATAAAACAGGAAATAAGCCACAAATTTATTATACAAAATATGTGCAATAACTTTGTAGCTGGTTCCAATCATGCCTTAAATTCAACATGTGGCCAGAGACTCAGGAGTTCGTTGGAGCCTTGAAGGGCTCTGGGGCAAATGCTGGGAGTGCCAGTCAGCTCATTACACTCCCAGTCTCAGGAGCACACTGAAGTAAAGAGTACTCTGAGCCTTGGGTGCACCAGGCACCTGGCTTGCTAAAAGAGAGACTTGGCAGTAGGGCACAACTGGAGCTGATCCCCAATCCCACATGTGGCATGGCAGGAAGCATGACTGTTGGGATCGCAGATCATATCTACAGGTCTACCCAACTCAAGGAGGCAGGCAGATGATTTTGTGGGCAAATTGCAGGGCCGGCCACCATATTTGCAAGCTGATTGCAACAGGATTCCTGTTCCCCACCCCGCTCCAATGCCCCTGATTCACTGAGGGGCCCCAGTGGCCCTGCACCTGCTGCTGATTAGAGGAGAGGGCTTTCCAACATACATCCCCGCACCTTGCCACTGATTGGTGGAGAGGGGCAGGGCCGTGCAACAGGCAGCCATCTCAGCCAATAGGAGTGGCAGCCATCTTGCTTGCTCCCCTTCATGCCAACAGCCCCCTTCTTCTCTTTCCCCTCAGTGGGCTACTCGGCAAGGAGGACTGCAGGCTCCCATTGGAGTCAGCATGTTAGTTTAGTATATTTTTTCTTCATGCACAGCACCTGATTTCGTGATTTCTGTGAAATCACAATTTGAGTAGATCTCTAATCATATCCCACCATGCCTTTAATTGAACTTTTAATTGAACTTCTCAGCCGAAGTTACATCAGTGTGAGGCTGCCTACTGTAGATCTGTTCCTTTATTACACTCATGAGCAGATCAGTTGCACTGATGCAAATGTGTCTTGTGTCCAAGGTCTTGGATTCCATTAAAAAACAGTGAAAAGAACAAAATCTAAGCACAAAACTATTTATATGACTCGTGATTGTATATGCTTAACAAAAGGATGCTAAGAACTATGCTAAGGACAAGCTCATCTTTCTGATGCTTACAGGATTATTCCTTACTTTTAATCAATATTACTTCACCATATATTTTATCTTCAGTTATTCACTGTAAAAGATTCAAGTGCTTAAATGGGGATAATTCTTTTGCTGGTAACCAGATTAAGAGAAAAATAAATTATGTTAGTGAATCATGGAAGAGATGCCTACTTCACATATTTATTTTGAAACCATCATACCTTCTGTATTTGTTCCTAGTAGTATATTAAACCATACTTTACCAACAAGAACCAAAATAATATGATCTCAATAACTAAACTACTCTGGACATTCTGTAATAGCTTCTTTAATTTTTTAAAATTCTTTCATAATCTTACATCTGCTACTGCAAATGTATAATTCTTGTGTTCCAAAGCTTAGAAACTGTATGAACTATAAACAGGTATTTCATAGTATAATTTTTTTTTAATTTTTAATTTTTTTAAATTTACATGTTTTGTTTCAAGATACTCCCTCTTGTACCTGTCCACTGTTTTCTAAGGTATACTTCAAGGAGGGATGTGGACAACATCAAGAGGATCCAGAGGAGGGCCACTCGCATGATTAGAGGTCAGCAGGGCAGGCACTATGAAGAGAGGCTATGGGACCTGAACCTGTTCAGCCT